CAAGCAATGCAATATATTTAGGAACACATCAACTTCAGAAAAGAAGGATGGTTGCTGCCCCTCTATTCTCTTATTAACTTCCTCTTCTATTAGTACTAATTATATTTTTTGCCTTTTGCTTTCCTTTTTCTTCGTCTCTTTTTACATAAGCTTTCTGTATCTCCCTCAATAATTTATTCATGGCTTGTATTCCAATTATCTAATTTTTGCAATTTCCTCCTTATGACAGGCCAAGATTTGGTTACAAAATTTACTTTTAATAATCCTTGTGCAACTGGATCATCAAAAATCATTTCATAATATTTTTACATTTGATCTCTTAAGTTTTGTAAAAAGGCAGAAGGGGTTTCATCTTGTTCTTGTTCAAAAGTTTTTGTGACTTGGGCACTGCTACTTTTATTCTGTCTATAATCATGTTTCTCAAATCTGCCATATTAACTCTACCTCCCACAGTGTTAGAGTCCCAATTTGGATCCTGAAGGGAGAATTTCTGATCTACTGGTACATTTACATTTCCTTGATCTGCAGGATGTAATCTTTCCCATTCTACCATAGCTGCCCTTTGTCATGGTTCCCACAAACAGAGATGAATAAAGCAGAACTCCAAGACTTGAAAATTCCTCAAAGAATATGTTTATTAGTTACAAAGTATTGGCACAAACAAAAATAAAACCAAGTCTGAATATACAAATAATTATCCAATTACAAAGTATAATGTCCCACCCACAAAACTATGCAAGTAACTACGTTCCCCAATATATTAATTTGGCGGGCGTTTTTATACAACGCCCAGTCCCTGGTCACAGGAGCAGTAGATAACTTTAGTTCCCACAGGAAGAGATGATTATTTTGACTAACGAAGCACTGGGCAACCCCCCCCCTCCATTATATGTGGCAGTTTAGAATGAGAAGAAAAAATGGCTACAGCCATGGTCATTGTAGAGTTGACGCCCTTCTTATTAAATTCCTTTCCTCTGTACTAAATAAGATAGTCATAATAGTCATTAGTTCACTCCAAGTGTAAAAATTAGATCCTAGAAATTTATCAAATTGGTCAGATATACCCACAGGATCTTTTATTAGATTCTTTTTTTTTTTTTTTCTATAAAATTTTTTATTGTTTTTATCATAGAAAAAAGAAATACATCACAGATATTACACAATGTTATATCCCATCCCCCCACCCCCCGGACTTCCCAAACCAACCTAGGCTAATATTCAAATACAAGTACACAAATATTAATATCTCTAACTCCAAAGTCTAAACTTAAACAATCCATCTCNAAAAAAAAAAAAAAAAAAAAAGAAAAAAAAAGAAAAAAAATTCCCACGTAAAGTTAACAAATTAATTCTGTCATTTCATGAAGCTACCCTGTAAAAAGTCATTTGGAACCCTTAATAAGATTTACAATTACTTAATTATCCTTCAATCGTTTTCAATTATAACAACATTATTATATTTATAATAATCTTCCTTTTAATAAAAATTATTCATTTAATTAGATTCTTAAGTTCCTTTTTAAAACTTCTAACTTCTCTTGTACTTAGAGGACTATTTACATATCCTATTCTTAAATTACCTCCTTGTATTACTTTTCTTAATGAAAACATCAATATTTCAGATGTTTTACACAATTGTGAACCTATAGTTGGGTTAACTTTCTCACAATCTCCCCTAACCTCTGGGTTATATGGAGAGGATGTTTTATGTATTTCTTCAGCCTGAAAATTCTCTGGATTCATTGTAAAATATCCAGGTGACCAACATAAAGCATAGACAGATTCATCTGGATCTACTGGTTCCTTTTCATTTACATAAATGTTAATGTTTGTCTAACCCAGTCTTCCCATAATCCATATTTGGCCCACCATACAGCAGGGTCCTTAATAGGGTGTTTTGGCCATTTGAAACAACAGTACCATATCATTTTCTTTTTATCTTTATTCCTAGTACATTCTACTCTTTTACAGTTTCTTAATATTCCACCAAAAAGACTATCAGGTGGAATGTTTTCTGACACCCCCTTGGTATCATCTCTGGTCCTCCTACTGCCCCTGTTTCTGATGTCAGAGACCACACTCAATCATTATGTGTAACCAAACCACTTGCTTGGTTCGTCTCTGGCTGTTTTCCTTGCAGGAAGGACGGAACCACAGATCAGAACTCCACACTCACTTCATATGTAATTGTACATCTCAAACCCCTCATCAAGCTTGGACTCCGCACATGCAGGCCTACCCAAGCACCAAGGTAGTTGTTTAAATAGTCCCCTTGTTTCTCATCTTGGTCCGTGCACAGAGTTGCCCGGTTGATTTCCTTTGGACCTCTGGACATCAAATATCCACCTCTGGAAAAGAGGCTTTGCTAATTTTTGGCACCATTTGCAGAAATAGGCAAGCAACAAAGCAACAAAGGCAATCTGGTACCAAAAAGTAGAAAAAGTGTATTGACATATATACAAATATGGGTGCACATGAGGTGGACCCAGATCAAAGCATGCAACATGCTTATACCCTGATGCTCAATTTTGTTCTGGTTTCCCATTGGCTGATACTAACAAGCTCACAACCTATTCGGAGAGCCTATTAACAAAAACTCCCTAACAACATGGTATCACTAACTGTTGTTTTTCTTGCATAAACTAGTTAATTTTGGAATGTATCAGTTAAGCTATTGCTCAGAAAGTATCACCACCCCTTTTCCTTATCTTTTTTTCGACTTTTCTGAACCATATTGTTAATTGTAAGAACAATATTGCTTTAACTAATCTTCAAAAAATCCCTTAACTTTCTAATAGTTTGAAGCAGTACTTCATATTTCACAGTAGCAGTTGAAATTTATCCATTTCTGTGTCTTTCCTCTTTGTTCTGAATATGGATGCATAGAAAAAAGAATACCTAGATTTATAAATTCTTTGGAGAGCTATTAAATGAAGTTGTAGACTTCTTTCACAATGGTACTGTGGTATATCTCATGGGAACAATCAGAGAAACCTGAAAATCTGAGCCTCTATCAAAATTATTTAAATTACTCAGGGAACTCATTATAATGATGTTTCCATACTTTTATTTAAAAAGCACTTAAAATTATTTTTAGTACTATGAAAACATCAAGCAAACCACAGTGCAACAGTGAGTAATAATCCATTGATACATAACTATTTGTACAGCTACCTGTATATTTGCAATGTTTTCTTTATATTTTTGAAAGATTGTAAGGTGGCATAGATGTACTAACATACATGAATAAATATTACAGATTATAATATACATTCATGGAGTGAACCCCACTGATCACATTAGGAATTTCTTTTGAATAATCAGGTTAGAATTACTCTATGATCTTAGCACATTTCACAAAAAAATTAACCAAATTTTAATAGGACACCACTGATTAAAGTGATTCTTGAATCACTTCTTTTCATATCAATGCAGAATTTCCAGGGTTGAAAATGACTGTGATTCTCTTTTAAGAAAAGGAACAGCCTTATCAATTACATTTGTCTAATAAAAATTCATAGAATTTTGGATTCCCCCAATTATCCAGTGAACCAACTATGAAACTTTTGATGAATTCATTCTATTCTCCTGATAATCTATCCTTACCAGTTCCTTGGATTGTTTATTAAGATAAATATATATACCAATGAAAAGATTTCATAATGGCTGAAGGAGATGGAAGCTTGTGAAGGAAGGTAGGCAAATTATTTAGTTCTTCTGTATGAAACTTTATAGAAATAGAAAAAAATTCAGTTCCTGCAGTACTGTAGGATACAGACTGATGATAATATTTGCTGGTGTTATGTAACAGAAAGTAGCATTGTTTGGAAGGAGATTATCTACTCATATCATTGTACTTTAAACATTAGCGATTGCTTTAAACATATGATAGTGATTTTAGCTTCATAAAGAGAAATGTTAAATGATATATAGTCAATGTAACACAACCAGCTTAATATTTGTTTATTTCTTCATTCCTTCACTCCTGCTTCTAGAAATGTCTAGACTCTAGAACAGACATGTCAAACTCACGATGTCACGTGACGTCATGCAACATATCGGGACAGTTTTGCCATTGCCGGCAATAGGGTGGGCACAGCTTCCATGTGATGCGTCTGGCCCGTGGGCCGGCAGTTTGACACCCCTGCTCTAGAAGATTTATATTTAACTGATTTCACTCATCATTAGCAAAATATGAAAACAAAGTAAAGGAAAAGGGTTTGGTCTTAATGTATGGAAATCTTTGAATGTTTGAAAAAATGAATAGAAATGTTCTAAGGGCAGCACTTTGGAGACATTTAAGTATTAACAGAAGCAACAACATTAACAGAAGCAACAACAGAAGCAATAACATACTGATTAAGCTAATTTACTGTTCTACAAAAGCTCTATAAGAAAGCAAAATGACTTAATATATTGACCTGTTTCTTCTCCTTTTGTTTTCTTTTGTTGTCCTTAGGATGGGGTGGAAAACATCTTCAGTACCAAGATTGCAGTTATTTCTTTCTCTTTCTGCTATGTAAAAATCAGAATGTGGCACTCATTTTTATTGCTTTCTTGAATCTTGGATGTAGGTTTCTTATCACCATATTATATTTATCTATAAGTGGCTCCTGTTTATGTTTCAAAACCTCTGTATGGCCTCATATTTTTTACACCCTCTAGACTGAGTCAAGTTAATGAAAAATCCTCCCTGTTGACTTTAAATTTCTGTAGAGGACATCTAAGGAACAGAAGTGCATTTTAATTTGGAAAACAGATGTGAAGAGAAATTATTCTTTCTTTTGTTTGAAAAATGCTAAATTAAGAAATCACAAATCAGTAATTTTTCTAGAAGGATTGTTTGGAATATGTCAAATTTAAATTAGGATTTAATTATACCAGAATAAAAATCCTTAATGTACTTTCTGTGTGTGTCACAAATCACTTGGTTTGTTGTACATAGTATTTTTTAAAAAAATATTATTGTTATTGTGGTCATCTTCCAGATAAAATCATCTATGGAAAACCAGAATAAAAGCACCAGGTTTATTATTTTGGGATTTTCTGGTAATGTGGAAATGCATGTCTTGCTTTTTATATTGTTTTTGATCATGTACGTCATGTCACTGTTGGGGAATGCATTAATAAGCATTGTCATCAGACTTGAGCCTTCTCTTCATATGCCAATGTGCTATTTCATTGCCAGTCTATCTCTTGTGGATATTTGCTATATATCTGTCACTGCCCCTAAAATGCTAGTCAACTTCCTTTCAGAGGACAAATCTATCTCCTTGGTTGGATGTGCTGCCCAACTATATTTCCTTCTCTCACTAGGAACTACAGAGTGCTTTCTTCTTGCAGCCATGGCTTATGATCGCTTCTTGGCCATCTGTAATCCATTGCACTATCCTTTAATCATGAACAAACAGCTTTGTGCCTGTCTGGTGGCTGGGTCATGGGCCAGTGGGATTTTGCTTTCACTAGGCCAGACAACTCTGATATTTTCTTTGCCTTTTTGTGATGAACATTGGATCAACTATTTCTTTTGTGACATCCCACCACTCTTGAAGCTAGCCTGTGGAGATATCTATCTAAATGAAATCACAGTCTTTATGGCTGGACTGCTAATCACTCTGATCCCATTATTGCTAATCCTGTTCTCCTATGTCCACATAATCAATACTGTGCTGAAAATTGCATCTGCAAATGAGAGGCAGAAAGTTTTCTCTACCTGCTCCTCACACATTATTGTCATCACTTTGTTCTATGGATCTGCTAGTGCAATGTACCTGAGGCCCAGATCTACGTATGCCTTTGAAACAGATAAATTTCTAGCTCTGCTTTACTCCATTGTAACACCAACTTTGAATCCTATTATTTATAGTTTGAGAAACAAAGAGATAAATGAAGCTCTCAAGAGAAGGTTTGCTTCAAAACTGTTCCCTTGTAGAAGATGATTAAAAGTCATAAAGTTAATCCAGAAAAAATATTTTGTGGTGATTAATTTTTTTTCAGCTTCTTATTTTTGCAAAAATGTCACATATAGTTCAACAAACATCTATGTTTTGTTTATATTTATAGTGAAATGTATTTTCATTTACTGTTTTTCTTAATGTGCATATTCTTTGCTAATTTTTCTCCTAATCAATTTTTATATTATTTTCATCCCTATGTTATTTTTTCCTGTAAGATATTCATAAGTATATTATATTTGTGCTTGCCATTAAGATGTCTATCCGTATATTAATAATAAAGTCTGTCAAGTTTAACTTTGGATGTTAAATGGCATGGCTGTTTAAGCTAATTAATACTCATTTGGAAGAAACTGTATTATGTCATATTTAAAAATTCATGAGAACATGGATAATTCTGGCAAAGCTTAATTCTTTAAAATAATAAAGGAGCTGGTAAAATCTTTGTAGAATGAAATATGTTCCTCGTTTCTTTGATAAGTTAAATGCATCTATTTACTAATAAAACAGGTCACCTTAATTTTTTTTATATTCTATTTAGTTGCACATCATTCACATACAAATATATATTATTTCAACAATATTTCTCTTTTTACAATTGTTAACCCCTCTAAATAAAATTAGCACATGAACAAAGCTACTGCTTTTTTTCCATTCCATTATTTTCTCTTCCCATGCTGTGTATTCATGGCTGAACCCTAAACATTTGATAATAGCATTTCCCACATAAGGGATGAAAATTTCTGGAAGATTTACAAGGGACCAGGATTCAAGAAGAACCAAAGTCAATAACAATTTATCTTCACATGACATTGTTTTCTATTTTTTTATTATTATTATTCCTTTCCCAATCTTCAGCACTGTTACAACTTGAGAATGGATCTTCAGCAATCAATATCCTCTGAGTTTCTCTCTGTTCTGGTTGAAGAGATAGTTATGATCTGGCATGGTCAAGGCAGACCTAACATGAATTATTGTTTAAAAATTTTATGCAACATTTGAGGAATGCAGGTTTTTTCCCCCCTATGCACTGATATATAGTACCATTATAGTGTGGTGCTATATGAGTGCACAGATCACTATAGAATCATTATTTGGTGGTCTGTACAGTTGCATAAGATATTTTGTTTCCCAATATGCAGAGGAAATCTACAAAGAAAGCAATATTAAAGACTTAGAAAAGCTACAGAAGAAACAGCAAATTTTATACTCAATATTAATATAAGTGAAGGCAATAAAACGAATTACTCTTTATCTTCACCTTTACAATGAAATATTCAGAATTTCCTTCATCCCCCCCCCAAAAAAAAAATTGGAAGAGAAAAATTTATATCCTTTCCCTCTACTTAAGAAGTTTTCTTCCCAATTTTAGTGCTGGGAAGGTTGAGTGACTTTTTTTTTCCAATTACACTGCAGAAGAGTTGATGAAAGAGTAGCTTCCTTGAGGTAGCTATTTGCATAGAAAAATTAACAATGGAGTGTTATTATTGAAGAGGTTAATTAGGTATATCATGCTATTTTTAGCTGCTGCACTTGCATTTTGGTCTGTGACCGCAAAATAAAAAATCATTATTATTTATTTTTAGCTGCTATGTAAAAATCTCCTTTTAGTTCCAGAAATTTTATATATTATAAAATCCCTTGTGAAAATGCAACATTTTTGACATTGTTTAGTTTTTTTTAAAAAAAATGGATTCTTTAACACTCTACCTTTAATACTCTATCTATAGTGAGTAAGTAGATTCTTATTGTGAGAAGTTTTATATCAAAATATATTTTATTTTTTATACTGTTTTCATGTTCCCTTAAAACATTAACAAAATCCACAATGGACTGAGAATCAGCATCTCCACTAGATAGTGACAGCCAAGCTGAAACTAAGTTAATTAAATAAAAATAGCAAAGGGGAATAATCTTTTACTCAAACTTCCCCAAACCCCCAAATAAGTTACCCAGACCAAAGCCATATATAAAAGGATAAAGTCTGTAAACACAAATACTGTTCATTAAATTAGGTCCCCCAACAGAACTGCATGCTCACATGAATAAACATAGGACATACCTAAACACAGTGGTGGGATTCAAATACTCGAACAACCGGTTCTCTGCATGGATGCAGGCCTGGGCCTCTGAGGCCTAGAATGGACTTCCTGAAGTGGCATCCATGCACTTCCAGCGGGTTGTTCTAAGCCTGGGAGGCCTCCGAGGGCTAGAACAGACTTCCAGAAATGGCACCCGTGCACTTTCGGTGGATCGTTCTAAGCCTGTGATGCCTCCTTCAGGCCTCTAAGGCCTAGAATAGAGTTCCAGAAATGGCATCCACGCACGTCTGTTGGACTGTTCTCCTACAGGCCTCCCAGGACTAGAATGGACTTTTGGAAGCAGTGTACATTCAGCCGGTTCTCCAAACTCAACAAAATTTAGCTACCGGTTCTGCTGAACTGGTGTGAACTGGCAGAATCCCACCACTGCCTATACATTCCACACCAGGACAAGCTCCCCTATGAAAATATATTGCTGTACTTCATTTCTCTGCAGCTGTCTCTAAAAGCAAACACTTTGCTTCTAGGAATAAATATTTCTTCTTTCCTCACAGTTGTATAGATCTCATTTTTATTTATTCTTGTGTAACCCTGTCTCAGGTTGGAACCCCAAATTATTCTTCCTACATTATCATTAAAACATAACTAGATTAGATTCTACAAAATTTAATAGTAACAAGAACAATAACTTAAAAAAATAAATTATATGTGTGATATAGTCAATTTATGATTTAATTTTTGAGATTTAAATGTATTTCTGAAATGACCAAAACTGAAGTGCAGTTATGAAGCTATTAATTGATATGATATTTTTATTTTATTATTTTATTTTATTATTTATTTTATTTATTTGTATCCCACCTTTATTATTTTTACTAATAACTCCAACATATTTTTGTATCCAACATATTTTCTTTTCCCACAAAAATAATCCTGTAAGGTGAATTGAGCTGGGAGAGTGACTAGCTGAAAGTCACTTAGCCAGCTTTCATAGCTAAGACAGGTCTTGAACTCACATTCTGCTGATTTCTAGCCTGGTGCCTTAATCACTAGAACAAACTGGTTCTCTATCATAAATCTCTATGTCTCTAAGTAAATATCTTATCATAAATCATGATATGATTTACAATATTTGTTCAACATATTCATATCCATAAGAAGCTACAAGATGGTTTGAAGATGCATTGGAGAATAAGCTGCAGGGTTCCCTCAAGGATAAGTCAGATTTTTGTTTGTTTGTTTGTTTATACAATGGAAAAATACCTTAAATAATTTATAAAAATTACTCAAACTATTTCTTAGCTAAATCTTGTCAAGTGCATATATATTCTGCTAAACAACATTTATTTTAAGAATTGTGTCTATTGTGACCAACTGTTCTTTTAAAATATGTGTCAGAGCTTTGCTTAATTAATTAATCAGCTTGCAATATTTTAAAGGAACATTCCCTGTTCTGCTTTTTTCCAATAGTTCCCAAGCTGTCTTCAGTTAAACTCCTGGGAACTTTCCTTGCAGCTATTTTTTTCCATTGCCATGCATTGCCACATATAAACTAGAATATGAAGCCCCAAAGGTCTTAAACAACAACCTACTATCCTATAACCCCCACCCAAGTGGTTATTCTTTATTTTTTATTTTTTCTAGGAAAATCATCTTAATTATTCTGAACATTCCTTCAGTAGAAGGTCAGAAAAAAGTGTTTTTCTTTGCTCTTCACACCTCATTTGAAAAATCACTGTTTTATAACTCAGTAAGTATTGTTTACCTAAGTTCAAAAATTAAGGAATCAGTGGACATCAACAAACTCTTTTCATTACTCTCTACTATTTTTGTTCCTATATTAATCCCCATAATATACAATTAGCACAGGCACACACACACACACGCACACACACACACACACACACCCACACCGGGGCAATGTACTCTCTCCATTAATCTTTTCTATATATACCAATGACTGCATCTCTAAGGATCTAAGTTTGCAGATGATACAACAGCCATTGATCTCACTTGAGACAGTGAGGAATCTGCATATAGACAGGAGATTGAACAACTGGGTCTGGTGCAGATGGTACAATCTGAGGTGGAACATTCTTAAAACGGTAGAAACGAGAATGGATTTGAGGAAAAGCCCTCCTACTCCACTGACTCTTACTATATTAGACAACACAGTATCAACAATAGAGTCCTTCAAGTTTTGGGGTTCTATGATTTCCCAGCATTTGACATCTAACATTAGAACCATCATTAAAAAGGCATAACAAAGAATGTTCTTCCTGTTTACTCAGAAAGTTCAGACTGCCCAAGGAGCTGTTGATAAAGTTCTACAGAGGCATTATCAAGTCTGTCATTTGTACTTCTTTCTATATCTGTCTGGTTTGGTATACCAATCAAACAGGATAGGTACAAACTTCAACGGATAGTTAGGACTGCAGAAAAAAAAAAAATTGCAACTAGCCTGACTTCCATTCAGGATTTGAACACTGCATGAATCAGAAAGAGAGCTGAGAAAATGTCTACAGACCCCACATAATCTGTTTCAACTCCTCCCCTCAGGATGTCACTACAGAGTATTGTAAGCAAAAACAACTAGACATAGAAGAGGTTTTTTCCTTCATACCATCACTCTGCTGTATTACTTTTATCCTTCTCATCTGTTCCACTATTTTCTCATTAGTATCATTATTATAATTATTATTATTGTTCTTTGCATATATACTGAGAACTTATGCACTGGAGACAAATTCCTTGTGTGTCTATTCATACTTGGTCAATAAAGTATTCTGCTCTGCTCTGTTCTGCTCTGCTCCTCTCCATCCCATCTCATTCAATTCCATTCCATTCTAGAAACAGAGAAGTGAAAATATCACTGAAACGCTATTTAAAAGACAACGGTGATCTCTCTCTCTCTCTCTCTCTCTCTCTCTCTCTCTCTCTCTCTCTCTCTCTCTCTCTCCATAAATGTGGTCTAGGGAGAAGACAATCTTTAACAATAAAAGAGAAAGTCATTCTGGTAGAGAATAAAATACTAAAATTCAATTAATCAGAATAGAGCTGGAAGGACCTTGCTCAAGCCCCTTGTCTCAAGTAGGAAACCCTATATCATTTCACATAGATACCTGTCCAGTCCCTTTTTAAAAACTTCCACAACATCTGAAGGCAAGCTGTTCCACTGGTTAATTGTCCTCGCTGTTAGGAAGTTTCTTCTTAAATCCAGGTTGCTTCTCTTCTTGATTAGTTTCCATCCATTGTTTCTTGCCTTGCCTTCTGGTGCTTTGAAAAATAAGTTGATCCCCCTCTTCTTTGTGACAGCCTCTCAAATACTGGAATAGTGCTATTATGTCACTCCTAGTCCTTCTTTTCTTTAGACTGACCATACCCAATTCATGCAACCATTTTTCATATGTTTTTGTCTCCAGGCCCTTAATCATCTTAGTTGCTCTTCTTTGCACTTTTTCCAAAGTCTCAATATATTTTGTGTGTGTGTGGTGACCAACACAGGATGCAGTATTCCATGTGTGGCCTTACTAAAGCTTTATAAAGCGGTACTAATACTTCATGTGATTTTGATTCTATGCCTCTGTTTATACAACTAAGGATTGTATTAGCTTTTTTGGCAGCTGCTGCACACTGCTGGCTCATGTTTAAGTGATTGTCAACTAGAACTCCAAGGTCCCTCTCACAGTAACTGTTTTAGAGCCAAGTTTTGCCTAAATTGGTTTTTCTTGCCTAGGTGTAAAACCTTGCTTTTCTCCACATTAAATTTCATGTTGTTGGATAGGGCCTATTGTTCAAGTCTGTCAAGATCTTTTTGGATTTTGAGATTGTCTTCTCAGATGTTGGCTATTCCTGCCAGCTTGTGTCATTTGCAAATCTGATGAGTTCTATTCCCTCATCTAAGTCATTGATGAAGATATTGAAGAATACTGGGCTTAAGAAAGACCCTTGTGGTATCCCACTTCTTCCTTCCTTCTATGTAAATATAATATCATTAAGGAGTATTCATTGAGTATGGTTTATCAGCCAGTTACAAATCCATCTGGTGGTGATGTTGTCTATCCCACATTTTTTTAGTTTACCAAGAACTAGGTTGTGGTCTGCTTTGTGAGATGCCTTTCTGAAATCTAAGTGTACTATGTCCACAACATTTTGCTGGTCTACTAATTAGCCACTTTGTCAAAGAATGAACTAAGATTGGTTTGACATGATCTTTTTCTAACAAACCTGTGCTGTCTACTAGTTGTAACTTTATTGTCAAAAATAAGAAAAAGTGATTTAAACTAGAATGGGTTCTGATTTCCTAAGGAGAAAAAAAGAATGTTAGGAACAAGAAAAACAAATAGCTACAATTAAACAAAATGTCAGAATTCTCTTAAGAATGATTTCACCAAGATTGTCAGAATTGAGTTATGGTGACATAAACATTACTAAATTATGTTTTTTTCAATAACCATATTTTTATTAATCATTCAAATTTTCCTTTACTGAAAATAATTTATGTTATTCTAAAAATGCCTCCACCAGATAATCAGAAGAAAGCAAGGTTCTCAGTTAGTTAGTTTTAGAGAAAAACCATTACCAAACAATTTATTGAAATTTTTATTACACAAATATTTTCTGAGAATTTCAGCATACTTTTTGGATAATTCCAAATTAAATCTTACCTAGGATATAAATTACTTAGGACCAACATGGTGTAATGGCTAAGCCACCAGGCGAAAATTGGGAAGTCATAGATTCTAGTCATGTCTTAGGTATGAATGCAACTGAATGACTTTTGGACAAGTATTCTCTCTCAGACTTAAGAAGGAAGCAGTGCAAATCAATTCTGGAATCTTGCCAAGAAAACTGCAGGACATAGTCCAGTTAGTTTCCAGGCATAAACACTGACTTGAAAGCAGACATGTGCAAGCATACACACACACACACACACACACACACACATTACACAAAGTTTTCATATTTGCAAAGCAAAGCAAAGCAAAGCACATTTCAATATATGTTTTCAGTTTACTTCCAAGGAATTATTTTTAAAAATGTCAAAAAACTGAAATCTAAACATTTAGATTTAGATTTATTATATTTATACCCCGCCCTTCTCCCGGAGGACTCAGGGCGGCTTACAGCCAGTTTAAAAACAGTTTGATACAATACAAAATACAAAATTTAAGAGAATAATTAAAAATAAATATTTAAATAGGCCGCTTCTACTAAAATTTAGTTAAAACCAATTTAAAATACCCCTAGGCCAGTCCTGCCCGCTGAAACAAC